AGAAGGGTAATATCCTTCACTGGCCTTAGTTCTCAGAACAGGTGGGACATGACTGAGGCTAGTGGCTTAGTAGGCAGATGACAAGGTGAGTCACATCTGGAGCTGCACTCTGACACAGTGTTTGGACAGAGAGGCAGCAGGAGGTTCCAAAGGGCGTGTTCTCTGGTTGAAATGCATCGTGACATGGTCTGAAGGTTTATCTGCTCATGCTAGAAACATAGGAGCACATTAATTTAATCTCAAAGGAGGAAGAGTAGGCAGTTTTAGATTTAGGGCCACTCAGCGTCTGCTTTTCTCTATTGAGTCTGGAGCCATTATAAATTCCTGAGAGAAGAGAATTGAGTTGGGCTTGGCCCTTGAGGAAAGCGTGAAGGTAAGGCTAATTTAACTAAGAAGACTCAAGACTCATTCAAAGGAAATGAAATTTGGGGGAGAGAGTGCTGGTACAGAATGATGGAGAATGAAATTTTAAAGCTACGTATTTTTGTTTCCACATTGCTTTGAGTATTAAGGCAAATAGAGCAAAGCTCAATGAATGTTCCTATTTGTTTAGTGTATTGGAATTTACAGATGTATCTTGAAATATGAGTCGCTAATGAAAACTTAGGAATACTTTATTTTGGTTGTGGCACAAGATTAAATTTTAAGTTTTTTTCTCATATGGTATTCACTTTACATTGAAATTAGCCATTTGTTGGGATTCCACCAAGCAAACCATTGCATCTTTTTTCTGGGTTATTTTGAGTTGTCTTATTTTTCTGCGTATAGACCTGGTCTGTGGTTTGCGTGGCTGTTAACACCTGGGAATTAACACCTAGGACCTGAGTTAGATTTTCGGATCTGCCCAATATTATCTCTTAAGGGCTAGAGCTTTAAAATATTTCCCTTTTGCATGGTGAGTGAGTCTTTGTGTATGCCAGGAGGTGGTCAGCAAAAAGTAGTGTAATGGGGATACCAAGAGGGGTTTCTTGTTTTCAGGCCAGAGGGTAATGTTTGGTATCATTAGAAGCGAGGGCTTCTTTGGATGGGAAAGGAGGAAGAATTTTTAGGATGAATCACACTGGAAGCCAATGATGAAATCTTGCAGTCCGTCTTTTTGGGCCTGGGTGAACTGCTTTTCTTAGGAGGCTGTAAGTGGTAGGATCAGGGAGGAGGGTCTGGAGGAAGAACCTTAATGTTTCCTGCCCTGGCATTTTCCCTGGGGTTTCTGCTGGCTGCCTGCATGTTCCCTTTTGTGGGCGAGGAAAGCCCAGTGCTCTCCTTCAAAGGAGAATATCTGCTCTTTGTGTTTAAATCTGATCAAACTCTATGCTACTGTACTTGGCTTTTTACAAGGAATAAATTGTGTCTGAAGGCAACAGTAAAGCAGGGAACAAAAGATAGATTTATGGATAATGGCTTCTAGGAGATGAGAGTGAAATGATGTTTGAGAATGTGGGCAATTTTTTCTTTCAAAAGAAAGTGAAATCAGATGAATGCCATTTTTATTGCCAGGAATAACCGCATCTGTTGGGTTCCTTAGCCACGCAAACATAACAACCCTTATACTTTGACTTCATTTTGTTTGGATCTTTAAACTGAAAGATTGGCGCCATTAGATTGTTTCAGATTAAAAGGCTGAAGACACAGGAGTTGTATAACTGAGGTAGGAAGGAGGACTCCTTTCTTTCTCCACTCTGATCAGCTCATATCCTTCTTCACAGACCTTCTGGTCTCCCCATTGCCTCCTTATTACGTCCTGATGGGTGTGCTCAGATATATCGTTCCTCTCAGCTTTGGGGGCAGCAGGAGCCTCTTAGCTGGTCATAGGGCATGTCACGAAGGCTATTTGACCTGGAGCCGTACATTCAGGGAAGGCCTGGATTTTAAAATTTCATCTTATCTATTGCTTGTATGTTAAAAGTATTTATTGGGTAATTCTAAATACTTAAAAGCAATACAAATTGTTAAGACTCTGTTTTGGCATTTTCTTTCTTTTTTAATATACCTGGGTCTTCTCCATGTTTTTTTAGACTCCTAAGTCTTACCCATTTTTTTTTAGACTCCTAAGTCTAAAAAAAAAAAATGGAGGAGACCCAGGCACCTAACCTTTGAAGGGCCCCCATAGTCAGCTGCGCAGGCTTTCATAATATGGTAATGGTCATAGAGGCTATTGAGGAGGAGAGACCTTCAATAACTAATCATGCAAAGAAGTCACTAATATGGGGACTGGGTGCTTGAAAGGGTGTAATAGGGACCTTCCCCTATTTGGGCCATCGGGAAGGATTTCTCCAAACAGGTGAAATGGAAGGGGCCGCTTCCCTTTCTCCTAGTGATGTTAGGAAGCAGAGGCAATAAATCTCAATAACCAATTGGTTTTTAAGGAAAGAGCCAACTCTAGGGTAATGTTCATATTTTGGGTTTGGGCAAAGGGGGAAATGGCAGTGTTGTCAACCAAACTAGGTGACCAGGGATTATTTCAGGGCAACTAAAATTATTTTCTGGCAGTGGGTGGGTTGATAATTAGTTCAGTTTTGGGGTATGTTGAATGTGAGTGGCCTTTGAGACGTCAGAGTTGAGATGTTCTGCAAATATGTGATCTTGTGTTATAAGAAGAGCTTAGTAAGTCCCAGTAAATTTAGACCTCATAGTAGGTAAGGCACTACCCAGGTCCAGTGGGGATAGAAAGAAGAATGAATAGATGACCTCTGCTTTCAAGGAGTTTATTGTCTAATTGCAGTCAAGGAGTTCGATAACCACAGATTATCCCAGCAACCCTTTAAGACAATAGCAAGAGAAATGTCATGGTTATTACACCAATGATTGCCAAATGAATTGTATCAATGTTTCTTGTTTTTCTATATCCAGCTTAGTATCTAAGTAAAATTGTTCACTGAGTTTTACGTTTGTTTTACTCTGGCCATTAGAGGTAGGTTGAGGATAGCATGAACTTAAACGGTACTGTGAGTTATTTGCTTTAAAGTAATTCATTTTAATTTTATGATGTAGGTACTGTTGTTTGTCCCATTTTACAGCAGAGAAGAGTGTGGCACTGAGGGGTTAAGTAACTTGCCCAAAGTGAGGTAACCAGCAAATTAGAAAGTTAGTATCCAGACTTAGATAATCCAAATTCAAAGCCCCTTCCTCTAATTTTTTAATCCATTTTTTATACTAAATATATCCCCTATCATTTATTTGAAAACCTTATTTTCAGTGGCTATATAATTTAACATTCCCCTGGTGCCTGTATTTCCATTTATATTTTCAAGATAAATCCCTGAAAGTGGGCCTCCTGTACTATGAAATATAAAATGTTTGACTTATTAAACCCAATACAACTCATTTTCAGAAAAGTTCAAAAAATTTACAGTCTGTATATGCTTTTCAATTCCATGTAGAAGTTTTCTCAATCCTATGTGATTGCCTAAACCAAAACAGAACTCAGCAACAGTGTGATAAAGGTTAGGATGATAAATCAAAGACTGCTAGGGCAGGAAAGAACTCTAGGTTTCATCCAGGCCTGCCTCCTTCTTTTATTAATTAAGAACTAAGGCTTAGAAAGGTTAAGAAACATGACCCAACCATGCCATTACAGGCAGAGTTAGGACAAGGACCTGCCTTTAGCGCTATGTGATATATTGAGCCTGAGACTCTTGGATCATTTGGACGATTCAAGATCTCCACTGGAGATATAGGAGACTTTTATTGTTTGGATCACCTTCCAAGTTTCCCCCTGAGTTGCACAGTTGTATCAGAGGGATGAAAGTAACCCAAAGGGGTCTGTCCTGAACTGAGAGGCCCATTATCACCCACGGAAATAAAGAAGTCTGCCGGGCCAGGGGAAATCCTGAAATCTCTTTTCATGAGTTCTCTTGGACCTGGTCTAGTATCAGATACACAAGCGTGATTCTGGACTCTCTTTTCATTATTCTGTTGATGGTATGATATATTTTAACAAAGGGCTACTCATATAAATAAAAATTCACATAATTCAAGACTTTTTTTTTTTTTTTTTAGTAGCAGTGACCAAAAATGGAGAATATTTCTGTTTATTAACCAGAGGTGACTCCACCATGTGGCAATAATGTAAACAAAATTTGCAATTTGATTTGGCTTGGTATCTGGCTAGGGGAGGCTAAGGTGTTTTAACAGTAAATCTGAAATTTCCATTGCCTTAGCACAATAAAGGATTGTTTCTTATGAAATCTGAAGGTGGCTGGTTGATCACCTTCCGGGTTGCAGTTATACCACACCAAGGCAGGAGAAGCGAGAGATAAAGGAGTCATGTAGACTGCTAAATGACCCAGCTTGGAAAGTAACATGTGCTGGATCAGCTCACAGTGTATTAGCCAGAACTAAAACATGCGTCCAATCTAACCGGAGGGAAACGCTGAGAAAGAGTGGGGAGCAGCACACAGATATTTGATGAACACGGATTGTTTCTTCCATATAGTTGATGCTTGATATTTCGAAATTATCAACCTAAAAAATTTACAGGCAATTTCACATCATTTCAAGTTTTAAACATAAAGATAAAACTTTCATATTACTTTCCTTCAGATAGACTTGAAGGGCCACTGTGTGGTGAAGTATATACTATGATGTAAAGAAATCCTTTTGATTTCTGTGTTAAAAATACTGGAACTTTTGCTTAATATTTGTGAGATTTGGGCAAGTAGTCTAACTTTTCTAAATGAGTATCCCTAAAGAAAAAGGGATAACAATCCTTAATTCATGGGTATGTTGCATAAATCAGATTGAAGACTGAAGATAAAACACATGACACAGAGCAGAATATATGGTAAGTATTCAACAAATGTGAATTTTTATTTTGTTTTTATTGGTATTATTGATATTGTAGTGATATTATTACTATGCACAGTAATGTGGAATCCTCAGAATCATCTTCAGTGATGTATCCATAATAATCAGAAGATAGTGTACTTTATGGAAACAAGTGATATTTTGTCCAGATTATGGTAATGAAATGTCTTTTATTTTTCTGTGTTCTTATATTGTAGATCATGGGGAATTTTAGAGGTCATGCTCTCCCTGGAACCTTCTTTTTTATTATGGGTCTTTGGTGGTGTACAAAGAGTATTCTGAAGTATGTCTGCAGAAAGCAAAAGCGAACCTGCTACCTTGGTTCCAAAGCATTATTCCATCGATTAGAAATTTTGGAAGGAATTACACTGGTTGGCATGGCTTTAACTGGTGAGTGGACCATTCTGTGTTCTGTTTTTACCTTTCAGGTGTTTTCATATATAAAATATGAAACAATATAAAATCATGAAATTGCTAAAATGAATTTTTATTCAAAAATATCTCAACACATATTCTAATTGTAATTTCTATCTAACTTAATTTGTTAGGAAGGCAATAATTTACGCTTATACAAAGACCTATTTCTTGATGAATTAGTCATAGCAGTTGCCTAGCCAAAGTGAATTACTTTTAAAGAATTGGTTGGAGCCTTCCGAAATCATTTTATATCAATTGTTCTGATCTCTGAAAGAATAAACCCTATCAAAAACCATTTTGCAAATGACATGAAATTAATCAAGTTATTATGGAAAAGGCTCAATAAGAAATCGTTGCTGATAGGCTGTAGAAAACCTTAGCCTTCTGCATTCATCTTTTTTTCTTGGTTCCTAAATTGGAGAAAGAGATTAGGCCAAATGACTTCCAAGGCCTTTCCACTGAATCTTCCATAGGAAGATTCTATGAAAATCTTCTGTGTTCTTAAGAATTCCACTCTAGCCCCTCCATTATAAAAGATAAAATTTCCAATTTCCCCATTTTCCCATTAGATTCCCTCATGCTTTATTCATGGCAACAGGTCTTTGCTATGGCATCAATTTACACAGTAACATTTCCAAAGAGAGAAATTTCCTTGCCAAATTCTATAGATTAACAAATAAGGCAGTATCTGTAAGAAAGTTTAACTGTTTTCATACCAGACTAGAGAGTATGCTATATCTATCTGGACTTTCTTTTTTTCTATATATTTCTTTTCTTTTCTCTTTTTTTTTTTGAGACAGAGTCTTACTCTGTCGCCAGGCGCCAGGCTGGAGTGCAGTGGCACAATCTTGGCTCACTGCAAGCTCTGCCTCCCAGTTCAAGCAATTCTCCTGCCTCAGCCTCCCGAGTAGCTGGGACTACAGGCGCACGCCACCACGCCCAGCTAGTTTTTGTATTTTTAGTAGAGACGGGGTTTCACCATATTGGCCAGGATGGTCTCGATCTCTTGACCTCGTGATCTGCCCGCCTCGGCCTCCCAAAGTGCTGGGATTACAGGCTTGAGCCACCGCGCCCGGCCTTTTCTATATATTTTTTTGAGATGGAGTCTCAGTCTATCGGCCAGGCTGGAATGCAGTGGCGTTATCTTGACTCACTGTAACCTTGCCTCCTGGGTTCAAGCTATTCTTGTGCCTGAGCTCCCAAGTAGCTAGGATTACAAGTGCCTGCCACCCCACCTGGCTAATTTTTGTATTTTTAGTAGAGACGGGTTTCACCATGTTGGCCAGGCTGGTCGTGAACTCCTGACCGCAAGTGATCAGCCTGCCTCAGCCTCCCAAGGTGCTGGGATTACAGGCGTGAACCAGTGTGCCCTGTCTGAGCTTTCTCAGTTATCATAATTGGAGAAAAGCTGAACTCTGTAGCGTTTGTGTCTGGTACCAAGCACAACCCTGTACTTTTTGGTGGCTACTCAAAGATGTACTATTTAAGAAGAAAGCAATCAATCTCCATAGGAGTTGTATCCCAAATTCAAATCCCCAAATAATTCAAGATGTACCTTAGTCATTAGATTGGAATAGGCAGTGGTAACTAAGATCATTGGCACTGAAGATCTGAAATAGCTGTTTGACTCAACTGGCTATCTTTGACTAAAACTATTTATTGGAACGAGCATCTGAACCTCCAGAACAAGCCTAAAGGGCCAGTGCTCAGCTGTTAGGGGACAGCTCAGAGAGAAGAATCAATGTCAAAAGAGGAGACTAGATTGGAATAAACAACGGGCTTGTTCTCCTGCATCTTATTGAATTCTAGGTAAAGCAGAGTTACTAAAACTGTGATATGTTTCTCTGCAGGCATGGCTGGGGAGCAGTTTATTCCTGGAGGGCCCCATCTGAGGTTATATGACTATAAACAGGGCCAGTGGAACCAACTCCTGGGCTGGCATCATTTCACCATGTATTTCTTCTTTGGGCTGATGGGTGTGGCACACATCTTATGTTTCACCTTCAGTTCACTTCCTTTCTGCTTAATCAAGTTAATGTTGTCAAATGCCTTATTTGTGGAGGGTAAGTATTACTAAGTTTTTTCACATACCTTTCTCTATTAGTGGGCATTTGTGTAGCCCTTCATATAAATATACCTCTGGCATCTTATTGCAGCCTTGATTGGCAAGACCATATATCTGGGCCATAATGAAATATGTGGGTGTCCTAGGCAGGGTGCCAAAGGTCTATGTGCTATACTGACTCATTTAGTAGAACTGGGCAAGAACTGTCATTCAATTGCTATGTTTACATTTCACATCTGTCTTGAAAGATCATTTGTGAAGGTTACTCATCTCTGGGCTGTTCGGAAGATTATCATTATTTTCACTTTTGACAGGTGAGAACTGATCCCGGAGTAATAAAGCATGAATACACTGAAATGAGGCAGCCACTCACAGCAGAACCACTTCCACGATCTACTAACTAGGCTTTTCATACTGATACAGTAAAACTCTGCCATTTCGTGATGAGTAGGGTCCAAAAAATGCAGTCACATAAAAAATATGGGGTCCTAACTTTGGAAAGTTAATTAAAAACAGTATTTTTCATTCAGCTGGTCTCCCAGTTACCGTAGGGAGAAAAAAAGAAAACAAGCATTTAATGATTTGTTTTCATTTATTACATATGTAAGAAATAGATTGATTATGGAAATAGATAACCACACATTGATCAGGAGGCAGTCACTTCCTACTCACCTTGCCTCTGGCATCTGAAGATAAGGACTTTTTCCTATACCTCTTGGGAACAAGGGCTGGATAAAAGATGGATGTCAACAACTAATAGCTTGATTCTCATTATCTCAGAGTGTTACTATATTTTGAATGAACATCTTTTCTCTTCGCCTTCATGAAAAAGATGAAGTTGGAATCTGTCCATGGGATGAAGAAATGCAGTTACTTACTACTTCTTGAGAGCATCCAGAGCATGTCAGAATCCACTCTTGTGATTTATACATGTATGTGTTTGCCTCCTCCAATGGAGTGAATTCCTTAAGGCGACACTTTGACTTAATCATCTGTGTGTTCATCTGAATTACCGCACTTGTCACGTTTAACTGTTCTTTGTCCTGCTTAGAAGATGCTTTGAAAATTTTCAATCCATGGAGATTCCAACTTCATCTCAATCATTTTCATTTAGATAAAGAGGAAAAGATATTCATTCAAAAATATAGTGAGATAATGAGAATCCATTAGTTGAAAATGTCACAGTATGTTAGAGAGAAAATAAAGGTCAGCGAAAGCAAAAAGAGGGTTAGATTTCAAAGATTCCATTCTAATGAGGTGGTGATGTTTTCAAAAATACAGTACTGTGGGAATCAGTGAGTACCTGCTCTTTTGGACAAATGTGTGTATGCGTAAATTTCTGTGTACAGAGAGAAACGGCGGTGGTCCTTGGTGCCACTGAAAAAGACAATCTGTTTTTTCCCATCAGCTTTTATCTTCTACAACCACACTCATGGCCGGGAAATGCTGGACATCTTTGTGCACCAGCTGCTGGTTTTGGTCGTCTTTCTGGCAGGCCTCATTGCCTTCCTAGAGTTCCTTGTCAGGAACAATGTACTTCTGGAGCTACTGCGGTCAAGCCTCATCCTGCTTCAAGGGAGCTGGTTCTTTCAGGTGAGTTGGGGCCTCTAGTTAATGCACCTGGACTCTTTGCCTGTAGCTTCTCTCTGCATTTGATGGGGCAGTTTGCTCTAGACCCCAGAGACTTCCCTCCAACGTGCTGTAGTAAGATCATGGGCCTCTGAGAATTGATGTTTTTTTCAGTGTCCCGGTAGCCCTGATGGGAGAATTATCAGGAAAGCTGGGTCATCATACACCTGGACATCCATTATGTAGGAACTCTGAGCTGATGCTTTTAGTTAGAAGCAGTTCTTGACACTAAAGCAGCTTATAGCTAACGGGTAATAAGCTTAAGAAATATATAGAAGGCAGAAAAGAGGGAACACTATCACTTATTGAGAAATAGTTACATGTTGGCTACCGTACCAAACTTTCACATACACATTGTTTTATTTTTTCCCTGTAACAGCCTGGAATTTAGGCATTATCATCACCAATTTACAGTTAGGAAGACCCAGAGAGGCCAAGGCTCATACAGTAATGGAGCTGGGATCCAAATCTGGATTTGTGTGACCTGAGGCCCCAGGCTTTTTCTGTTTTAAGCTGTAAACTCCCTAACCTTGATGTGCTGTTGAAAGCATGAATTGCAATCAGTGAACATACATTTTATACAGACTGACGAATCATAATCTAACATGCATACATATCTGTAAACAAAGTCTAGGGTGGAAGGTGAATTTTGGTTTAATCAAGGAAGACTTCTTAGAAGAGATTTTTAGTCACTGGACAGCAGAGATTTGGGATAATGAGGTTATTTTAGAGATTTGTGTTGTGCGTGAGGAGTGGTAAAGAGCATTGGTAGGGGAGGGGAATAGAAACAACAGGATAGAAAAGATGTGATATTTAAGCATGTAAGAAAGTAGAAAGGCTGTTGAAGGAAAGGCCGATAGAGAGGGGCTAGATCCAAGGGTTATTTTAATGGAAAGACTTCATAGAAAAAACTAACAGATACCCTATAATGTGTTATCACATTTACTATAAAATGTTATCACATTTACTATGTACATGTATTACCTATTGAAAAATAGATGGAGTAAGAAAGGGCTGTCCATAAAGCATCGCACAGGGGCTGAGTCCTATTTCTGAGGAGTTTCGAGCCCTTAAGAGTGCTGTTGGTAACAGAGAAGGCCACAGGAGGTAGGTATCCTGTACCAGTTTCGTTAGGTGACTTTTTAGAATTTCATTCATCTTCTCCACTTTCCCTGAGGACTGAGGCCCTCCAAGCACCGTGGAGATGATACTGCATTCCTAACACCTTGGAAATTCCTTGGGTCACTGCAGCTTTGAAGGCAGGGCCGTTTTTGCTTTGAAGACAGCGAGGGAGTCCGAATCTAGGGATTACTTCATTAATCAGGATTCTTATTACCTCTTGGGCTTTTTCTGCTCTACAGGGGAAAGCCTCAACCCAGTTTGTGTAGGTATCTACACATACCAGCAGATATTGATATCCCCGAGACTTAGGCATATGGGTAAAGTCCATTTGCCACTCCTCACCTGGATAATGACCGGTTCACTGTTCCCCAGGAGGAATTTTGCAATGTGCCAAAGCCTCAAAGTCTAGCAAGAAGGATAATAGCCTCCTGTGTAGGAAATATCTTAGAGGGAAGAGCTGGGAAGAAGTTTGCATTATGGAAATCTGGACCCAGGAGGTTGGGGTCTGAAAGGCTGGGCATAGCTTGCATAGGTGGCTTTTTCTTAAGAGGTCTAAGCGGGGACACAACCTTAACCAGACTGAACCGGGAGTGGGGGATGGCCACCTTTCCCCTGGCTGGCCCTCAGCTTGGCCCAGAGAAAGAAAGATCAGTAAGGGAGGGAAGGGCTTCGGGGCTGACCAATGCTCCCAGTTCCGCAGACCCGGGGTTTGTTAGAGAGTCCATTCGCAGGAGGTCTGACACCTGTGTCTTCAGACTGGTGGCCACACTATATGCACTTAGATGGCTGACGGATGCCCACTTTCTACCTCCTTAACAAATTTAAAAGAAGGGAAAGGACAGATTAGTAAATGAAAGGGGTCCCATATCCCTCACTGCTCTGAAGTCCAACGTTCTCCTGGCTGGCTTGCCAAAAGATGTAACCAGGGGAGCATATCCAACTCCCAGAGGTCGGAGGTTCTTGGCCTCATTAACTCGGAAGAACAGGGAAAGTGGCCCCGGAGTTGCAGTGAGCTTACTGTTTGAATAAATATTGTGGACCCAAAGAGTTTTGCCGAAAAGCAGTTTATTAGAGAGAGAGAGAAACAAAGACAGGCCCCATGCTGTCGTGGGAGGGGGCCCAGAGAAAGAATCAGTATAGGTAGGAACAGCAGGAGTTTTAACCCTTGAGTTATTCCCTCCCCATTCATGTTCTTGTCCAATGAGAGGAGTTCTCTCAGACTTCCTCTGGAGTGATTGCTCTTTGACTCTGATACCAGATTGGCTGCTTGGTCCCCTCCTCCCAGAGCTTTCCGCACCTTTTTTGGACAAAGGAGCCTCAGCTGGCTTTCTTTACCTAGCCCGCGTGGGAAACCCAGACGAAGAACTTGACATTCCAAACCCCTCTGGTTCCCGGATGGAGGCATGGAGCTGGGAAACTCTTGCCTTAGAAACTATGCCCCTCACGGACCCATGAAAAGAAGGCTCCATAACAGAGTCCCTCAGAACCAGGCTTTTGGGACTCTTTAATTGTGTTATTTTTTTGTGTATTCTATATTCCTAATGATTTTTCATCTGATTGATCTCTCCCTTTCTAATAGAAGTTGGTTATAGTTTTATGTTATAGGTCTGGATTTGTCCATTTCTTTTTTTGTTCATTTTTTGCTTTGTTATAAGGTTGTTTTCTGCTTCTCTCTCTCTCTTTTCTTTTTAGTTTTTTTTTTTAATTAGATGATCTCATTTATTTTCAATCTTTCTTGTTTTTAAATAAGTGCATTTAAACAAGTACATTTGTACACTTCTAGAGCTGTCTTCTGTTAGATTTGATGTGTTAGTTTGTAGTTTTTGATATGTCGACGTGGTTTTCACAATTTTGAATGTTATTTCCATGTGCTTTTCTCTTTATGAGTTATTTAGGAGTACACTTTTAAGTTTCCAAAAATATTCTTTTTTTCTTATTATTTATTTCTACTGTAATTGTTTCATGGTCAAGGAATATGTTCTCTTTGTAATGTATTGAGACTTCCTTTGAAACATGGCCCAATGTCAGTGGTTGTAAATGATCCATGTAGTCAAAAAGGAAGTATATTCTTTTTGTTTGATTTAGGAGTCCTCATATATTTACTACATCAAGTTTATTAAGGAGCTAAATATTCAAGTAAAGAAAGGCAGTATAAGAGGGGAAACCCAAAGAGAGCAGAGTTATAAACATAAGAGAAGAATTAATGACATTAATTAGTATTCAGTTAATAACTAATGATTAATTAATATCCAGGATCTGAAGGAGGAAGCTGTGGGTCATACCTCAACTGGGAATAGGTTGGCTTAGTGTTGCCTCTTTTGGCAGATAAATGTTTTCATATTTCCCCCGAAAGCTTTTCTAAGGAAGAGATTCATGTCTTTGGGGATAAATCTGAAATTATTTAGAATTTTTTTCATCTACCAGTATGTCTAGACAAGACTGTTTACTTTACTCCTGGTGGTCAGCCTAAATAATGTCTGCAGCCTTAAAGTAAAATTAACATTTAATACCAATGCAAACACACACACTGCCAAGAAACAATGTTTTAGCTATAGTGACTCTCTCACTGCTTCCCTTCTCCGAAACAAAACCGTCTAGAAACTTAGGTGACTTTATTATGCTTCCAGTTGGTAAGTGTGGTATATGAATCTTTACAGCCAAAGCACGCTAACAATATTATGTCGTGACTTGCTTTTCACCATATTTTGCTCTCACCACTTCTGTATATATGGTAAATATTTTAATACTAGTGCATGAACTGTGTATAGATGGATTAGAGAAAACACTCACCTAGACTCTTGAAACCATAAGTATGGAGACGTGAACTGAAAGAAACAAATGCTCACCTTGGCCGCTTGTTTATCACACATATCTAAGTGATTGGGTAATATGTAAATGGAGAGGGAATTTTCCTTCCAACTTATTAACAATGCTTTCTTTCCTGAACCACATCACAGTCAAAAATGTTTTCTCAACAACCTAGCCACATCATGCAATTTAAAAAAGAAAAAAAAAATCCTGCAGGCCCCTTTATTCCATGAATCATGTTTTCCCTGTGTCCTCTGTGTGGGAGAATATTTCAAAACCTTGCTTTGTAGCTTTCATTCCCAATCTCTCTCCAATCAGCGTCCCCACCCAGGTGCAGGACGATCAGGGGATGAGGAAGGTGCTCCCATTGTCTTTGCTTCTTGTTATTTCAGACAGTTGTTTCTACCGCGTCTCCCAGCTCCATCAATCCCCCCAGGGATTCCTCCCATGACTGCACAGATCCTGAGCCCAAACGAAAACTCAGCTTTTGTTTTGCCTTTACGCAGGGCAAAAGTTCATTTTTAAACGACAAGAAAGCCCAACCAAACAGTAGTGGTTTGCGGTCTGTTGCGGCAGCAGATCAAACATTTGCCTAGGCTTTTAGTATTGAAATAAATGATTGGATAATCAGATAACAACAGGAAATTCAGACTCTTCGCTGTAGGAAATCAGCCCCAGGCTTGTTGCCCATTAGAGAAGATAACTATTTACATTTGAGATGTGACACTAATAAAACTTACACTAGTCAAAACCAGATGTTCAGGAGTGGCATACAAAATATAGCAAGAAAAACTTTTTTTTTTTTTTTTTGCAAGTTGAGGTTTTTTGAGGAATGTTATATAAGGAAACACGTGAAGACAAAGAAAAGCGTAGTTTTTGTATTTAAAGGAGGATTTAGTGGGTTGTGGCAGTTTCTAGCCTCAGTTTGGGGTTTCAGCTTTCCTAATTTATTTGTGTTTGGCCTAGAATGACTATGGAATGTTTCTATGGCTTTCACTGTAGTCACATCAGTTAACTCTGTTCATTGGCCTATC